TTTCTCGTCTCTCCAAATTGAAATGCAGCCTGCAAAAATTCAATTTGGTAGACGTTAACCAAAATTACCCCCTCCAGGCCGGCTGTCATCCCCAGCCTATCGCTCAGCAGACGCCCCCTTCCAATCATCTGTACCGACTCGCAGCCGCATAAAAACGGAGCAACTCCCACTACCGGCCTCCTGAAGCCTCTCAACCACCGCCTCCCCTCCTCCTCCTCTTCACCCTGCCTCCAATCTGCCTTCAATTTCTTCCCGCTGCCAAATGCCGCCACCAGTGCCTAGGTCCCGGGGGATTGTGCGCGCTCATCGCAGGAGCCTTTCCGATCCGAAGGCCGCACCGGGACCTAGGGCGCCAAACCTCCTTTCATAAAATACTCAACTCCCTGTTTCTCGTCTCTCCAAATTGAAATGAACATATGTTAAATGTTGCTATGAAGCACAATACTATTTCTTTTGTCGCATGTGGACAAGCGTGTTCTCTTCTGCGCTGACTTCATCTATGGACATGTGGCACAGACTCGCTGACTATCATCACTGCTCTTGATTTTATTACTACTTAATGACCGGACTCACCACTGCCCCCTGCAGTAAGGTTGGCGGGACTTCAAGCTGAGTGAATCTGAACACTGCTTGACACTAACCCAGGGCAATCTCAGGGGGATATTGTGGAGGGCTGTTAGATTCTGCACTTAGAATATGTGAGAAAATATCTATTTGATTGACAAAAATATTGAACGAGAAGGAGAGGGATACATAGAGCCAAGATATCAAGGGAACCTTGGTTTATAGCTTGTCTTTTGCATCCGTGGCAATGTGTTTGTTTCAATCTTTTACAAGAAAGTGTTTTTGGGCAAATAGTTATTTTATTGAATATGGGCTTGGATACTAGTTCTTTGGTTGTTTTTTTGAGTGCAGTGTAAAGAAGGCTGGAAATATCGAAAGGTGAATCTTTTTACCAAATATGTTTTGATGATTTCATTTTAACAAAATAAAGAACACAGTGGAGAACAAAATAAATGATGCAGTAGATTTCTTTAGAAGAATGTGGTACTTCTGCCTTCATTGGGTATCAATATGCGTGTGTGTAGAGAGCCAAAAAGCGTCAGCTTCGTTCTCCCACTTTTCCTACTCTATATCTGTATCGTGTGAATTGCTCTATTTTGTATGAAATTGGTGCATTAGAAATAAATAATTAGCATCACCCTAGCAGAGCACGGGTCACATGGGCCACAGATCTGCCCTGACCCTAACCCTTACTTAAGACAATACGCATTTTACATCTTAGCGGCATGCGATTAAAGCCAGGGTAAGGAAGAACCATGTGAGTCACTTGATGATGGCCAGGAATCACCAGAGAAGTAAAGAGCCCAACCCCTTTTGGTTGGTACTTGGCTCTGTCCGCTCAGTGACATGAGAAGGTCCTCAATTGGACGCTGCTCTAGGTGGTTTTGCGGACAGCACATTCTGGACCAAAATCTCCCACCAGGAGACGATCAAAGTCCAGGGGGAGATACTATTCTCATGGCAGAATGCTTAAAGCTGCGGGACCTATCTTTCTTTCCCCCCCACAAATACTATATGTTGTTTGTCCCAACAGAAAGTCTTATATGTAAAATACTGTGAAGAGATCAGACCACACCATTGCTTAGAATAATATTGATAATGCATTGGTTTTTAATAGCGCCTTTTTTGGACTCTCAAAGACACTTTCCATGTCATTATTCTTTCACTCCGTACACGGTGTGGACAGAGGAATGGCAAACAGTATGTACTATCGGCCCCTCCAATCATCACTAACCATTCCCACACACAGACTCATTATCGGCATCCATCCATCCATTTCTTTTCCTTTATCCATTTCTAGGACAAGGGAGTGACAGTCAGAGCTGCACCCAAATCACAGAGCACCAGCCCCTGATCCTCCTGCAGGTGGTGAGTCCACAGGAGGAGGCTGCACTCTCAGTGACGACACAGGTCTTGACCTTTTAGCGGGGCTTTAGGCAAAGTGGGATGTCTTGCCCAAGAACACAACGACAGGAGACTCAAAGGCCATAGTTGACATTTCATTCTAGCCAATGTGGGTGAAATGTCTTGCCTAAGGACACAACAACAGTTTGGTACTTTACAGCCACAGCCGCCTCACTGTGACACCTGGTGTTCCCACAGGTCTCCCATCACAGTACTAACCAGGTCCTTCCTTGATTAGCCTCAGTGTTCTGACTGTATCTGGCTTTCACATGCAGGTATGGCCACATATAGTAAGTCTGGTGTATGTGCGGATGGTTGGTGGTGTTTGGAGGGGTTCGACTGGTTGCCTAGCTTCTGTCAGTGTGCCCCAGGGCAGCTGTGGCTACAGTAGTAGTTTATCAACACTGTGCACAGAGTGAAATAATAATGACATGTGAAGAATTTTGAGTGTCCAACAAAGTGCTCTATAAAACCAATGCATTATTATTATTATCATTCTTATCATTAATATGAATATGATATTAATTGCGCACAGATAATAAAGGTCCCTGTGCTGAGAGCTGATTGGCTGAGTGAGTGTGGTCCTCTCTTTTTATCTTCTCTGTCTGAAAAAGCTGATGTGACAGTGACCAAAAACAAATGCATGTGTAAATGAGTGATAGGAGAGCGAGGAACATATTTCTCTGTGGTCTGGAAGTTAGGTACCGCAGTTTCTCACAATTATTCTGTAAATCAGAAGATACTGCAGGTCATACTGTAAAACGAAACCATTGTAATATCATTGAAATCACCAAAAGGAATAGATAGAAGTCCAATAGATAAATTTATTTAGCAGTGAACCTCTATCGGTGGGGGATAACTTTATTTATGCGCTCAAACACAATGGAAAATGTGAGTGCGCATCGCGGAGAGGAGCTGGTGTAAGTGTGTGCGTAAATACCCCCAGATGTTTTGAAGCGTCCGTCCACGTTTGATCTCTGGGAGGATTTCAGCGGCTGCACTTTTCATTTCCTCGTCACATTTTTTGACAGAATGTTTCACTAAACGCAGCGCCCTTAACCCGTTCGCGGCCGCGGCGCAGGGTCCTGGAGGGGCCTGCGCGCTCGGGTTTCAAAGATATCTGTTTTGACTGAGCGGCCATCTTGGATCTTTGAAGTCGTGCGGAGGAAAGGCGGCGTAATTCACTTAGAGCCCAGTTCTCTAAATGTTTTTGTATCGCGGTGCCAGGATTCGGCAGACGCACGCCAGCACTTCCTCGCTCTTTCAAACAGGCTTCACGAGGACCAGAGTGTACGGCTTTGTGAATGAACGATTAATCAAATAGCGTAGTCTTTTCAAACGGCTCAAAAAATGCATCAAATAAAAAAACAATATACAATACCTATTCCATGATAGAGACACTCACTATAGCAACAAACGAGGCGGACACAAACAAATATACAGGTGAGACACGGAGGAATAGATTCATGTTCTAATAAAAGTTAATTTATTTCTGTTATTCAACTAAAGCCCCGTTTCCACCAGCCCTACCTGGCCCTACTCTGCTCTACTCCACTCTACCTTGTTGTGCTTTCATTACGCTTAAGTATCTGGGTTAGTATCAGTATTTTTTCAAACTTCCACACAACAAACCTGTATCCGTGAAAATCCTTGGTAACCATGGCTCCCAGCAGCGATCCAGCCACTTATGCTCGGCCAGGATAGAACCAGAGCCGAGCAGGTAAGTTGATGGTAGCTATTAACAGGGCCAGTGGAATCACTCCTGACCGGGGTAGAGTAGAGTAGATCTGAGTAGAGTAGAGTAGAACCAAGTGGGCTGGTGGAAACGGGGCTTAATACAAATACAATATACAGAAAGTGATTTATGCCATGTGTGTATTTTCTGAGATGTTTGATTTTTGTTTTAAAGCTGTGAGCAAATTACCAACATAAACAAATAAAAGCTTCATTCACTGAATCTCACTTTGCCTGTAGTGAGTTCTTACAATGTTTTACACTGTAAGCTGAATTAAAATTTGGAAAGAAGGACATTCCAAAGAAAGATCGTGATATGTATGTGTGTGTTTGTGTGTTTGTCTGTATGTGTATGTATGTGTGTGTGTGTGCGTGCGTGTGTGTATGTGTGTGACCGTGTGTGTTTATGTGTTTGTGAATCTCTTTTTCACATCACATTACTTTGTCAGTGGAGTCCTGGCCCCAGAGAGAGGGGAGCTTCTATACATATTTTAGGGGTAGGGGAAACAGGGGCACCCAGAGGACACCTATGCAGACACTGGGAGAACATGCAAACTTCACTCCGAAAAGCCCTGCCTGGAGGTGGAATCGAATCAAAGACCTTCGTGCTTAGAAGCAATAGTGCTAACCACTCTGCCACCGTGCTTGTGTTGTATTGAATGAGTGGGAGGGATTGGAGCCAAACATCGTGTTTGTTCCGTCCAACCCTTTTTTGAACTGTGTACTGCGTTTTATAATTTTTGTGTGATTATTGAATTTTGAACAAAATATTTGACTAGTTCTAGTGGAGTAGACACATCTGAGGAATTGCCTGCTCACATTAGTCATTTCAGTAATAATGAAACTAGCTTTTGGTTGTTACTTTTCATTTACAGACATGTTTTTAAAGAAGGTTTAGTCAAATGTTTTCTCTCAGTCACATCTCCTGACAAACGCCACCTACTGCCACTCACTGTGTTAAAGCTGGGGAACCTATCTTTTCAAAACACAAAATACACATGTCATTTGTCCCTACTGAAAAAGTTTATTGTTGATATTAAAGCTGAGGTACCAAACTGTTTGGTGTTTGGCACCTGAGCTTTAATATCTGTGTTTGATGTGCAGGGACCAGTTTAGGCCTGATCTTTACGTCTCTGTGGGAGGAAAACACATTGGGAGAAACCGCTCTTTGAAGTTACCTATAGCCCCATATAAACCTGTGGATGCCAGTGAAATATAATAAGACACACTTTGGCGCAGACTGTAACATTTTGTGAACGTTTTAGATTTTTGTTTTCTCGACCCTTTCCCCGCGATTTTCACACCGGAGGCTTGAATAATGTGTTTGTGAATGCGTTCAGTCTGCACACACACGCACTGGAATGGGCAGCAGAGATGTAAACTTGGCTGCGTTCCTCCAGAGAGTGGCACATCTGGGAGCCATTTCCCCCCAGAGATGGCCTTCCTGTGGGGTTCCACTTAGAGCCTGGTCCTGGGGGGGTCTGGGGGGTACTGGGGGGGGTGGTGGTCCAGGGGGAGGGCTGCGGTGAGGTTGGGGGTGGTGGGGTGGAGGGGTGGGTAGGGGAGGGGGTGATGGCAGACTTACAATGAGACTGAGGCGTTTCGAGGCAGAGCCAAATAAATGCAACAACACAGGAGTGAGATTGGAGCTATATGGAGATGGTGTGAAGTTTCCACAGTGTGTGGGAAAAGTGCTATTTTAAAGCTGGGGTGCGTGACTTTTAAAAGCACAACAGTGCAGCTGTAATCCAATTCATGTAACTGGTTCCTCTCTCTCAAAACAGTTACTTTTGTTTTCACATGTATTCTAAGCCTTTTTCACATCTTAAGATCAGCTTTTTTAGACTTAAATTGGACAAAGAGGGGTCCACCTCGACTCAACCAATCAGCTCCCATGGCTAAAGAATCAAAAAGTGACTTATCACTCACTTGTCATTAATATAAGATAAAACAACATGAAGTGGTCTGGTTGGTTCACAACATTTTACTTTCACAAGATTCTTTCTTTCCTTTATTGGACCCACAATGGGGAAATTTCAGTTTGATACACACACACATATCAAGGCAAGCAGCAAACATCACTTCCGCGCTCCTTATATGTAAAGTGGGTTAAGTGTCTTGCCCAAGGACACAACAACAGCAGACGTCAGTGAGAGTCGGTGGAGAAGGTCTCGTGGTGGGCTCGAACCCACAACCTTCAGGCGCAAAGGCCAATGCTCTACCAACTGAGCCACTGTTGCCCCAACTCTCAAAAATAACTTAATTCAAATACATTTGTAAATCACAAACAGCAGATGTCTCAAAGAACTAAGTTGTCTCAAACTAACTAAGTTGTTGATTCATCTACAGCAGATCAGAGAATCAAACAGTTTGAACAGGAACAGCAATGACAGCAAGTAAGTAATCTTTATTTATATACCACCTTTTCACTGCAGATCTGAGTCTCAAAGTGGTTTACAATTGTTAATTTTGGGCATTTGTCTCTCACTCCACACAGAGATGGGAGCGGGGTCGCCAGTACAGGAGGCGCATGCCAGAACTATTGGACATATTTTTAGTGGTAGGGGAAACCGGAGTACCCAGAGGAAACCTACACAGGGAGAGCATGCAAACTCCACTCAGAAAGGCTCTGGTCCGACCACCACCGTGCCACAGCTAACCACAACAGTCAAATTTAACTTTTAAATACAACATTTTAATTATCATTTTTAGCTATTGAACTTGATCTTGAGACTTTGACATTTTCTGTTTCAAGTAAAACATATATTGCTAAACATTTGCCATGGACCTTTTCTGTTGTCTTCATGATTTAGATGTGAAATAATATCTTAAGTAGAAAATATCTGGTGGCGCAAGTATGAGGAGTAGACAAGAATGCTTTCTGTCTGTAACTCCTGAGGCTGCCACCAGAGGGAGCAGTTGAATTCCTTTGTCATCATACTTGAAAATGAGCACTGTTCGGAGTGTGATGTCACAGTGGTACGATGACATCACACTGAGACAGGACTGAGACAGGAGATTTTAGACAGAAGGAAGTTGTTGATGATGGAACATGGTTTGGATTTATATTTTCATTTTTGCATAATATGTCTCCTTTAAGTTGCCATTTGTAGAATTCCGAGTCAGATCCACAAACTGAAGCTTTCCACTTGTTTCTTGGCCGTGTTGTCTCTTATCGTCAACATCACAGCCCCCCCCCCCCCCCCCTCTCCCCATTCACTTCCTCTGTTTCATGTGTCATTGAGTCCCTCTGGTTCTCATTACAGAGCTCTTGATTTCAGCTCCATTTAAGACACTTTCTCTGATGATGGACTCACAGACAGAAGTGTGTGTGTGTGTGTGTGTGTGTAGTCCCAAGAAAACCATTTTAAGAAAGGTATGACTGTACTAAGTAGTAAGTACCATAGTAACCACAAGGTAAACAAGGCTAAAGATTGTCTCATTTAAGCCCCATTTCTACAAGCCCTACTCTACTGTACTTTTAGCTTGTTTTATTTATGTACTTATCTGGTGCACACAGGGGACTTTTGTGAGTGTATTCCAATGTGGTTTTACTGCAAATGACAAATAAAATGAATCTGAATCCAAATCTACCTGGTTGTGTTTCCAGCATGATCTGGTGTCATGTTTTACTGTGGACCACTGTTATATCTGTATTATTATATGGCTCTTCACAGTAGAAGTAGAACACTCAATTGATTTGAATGTAATTTCATTATATTCTACTTGTCATCGTTTCTTGATAACGGACCTCTCAAACCGATAATGACCGCTGTCAATGGCAACGCAATCTGTGCTTGGGATTCAGGTGTGTCAGATTACTGTCAGATTACTCCGCAAGTAGTCCGGCCACTTTGTCAACGAGACATGCAGTTGAAAATAACTAGTAGCTAGCCTAGCTGTTACCCACCTAGCCAGGCTATAGTGTGGCCGGACATAGATCCATGGTGTAGATCTTCTCAATGAACAGTAAATAAATTGACAAATCCCCCTGTTAAGATGCCATCAGAGCTTACCTCCAAAACCAAATGTAATGAGTTTGCAGAGTTTTTTAATGACAAAGTCCAAGGCATCAAAAATGCCATCACCTCCACAGTAGAAATTACAATCCAACAGCCAGTGAAGCTTTTTGGGCTGACACACTTTACACCAGTACAAAATGAAACTGTCCAAATGATAATTACAAGTCTGAGTTCTTCTACATGTAGCCTGGATGTATTACCTCCTAGATTTCTTAAATCTGTTCTGAGCAGTCTTTTACCTTCACTCACGCATATAGTAAATATGTCTCTTGAATCTGGAACATTCCCAATGGCCCTGAAAACGGCAGTCATCAGACCCCTCCTAAAAAAGAGGAGTCTGGATGCCTTGGCACTTAAAAATTATCGGTCCATTTCAAATCTGCCTTTCATGGGTAAAATTCTAGAAAAAGTTGTCTATCAACAACTTACAGAATTTTTAATAATCAATCACTCTTTTGATATGTTCCAATCTGGTTTTAGACCCCACCACAGCACAGAGACCGCTCTAGTGAAGGTAACAAATGACATCAGACTTAACACTGACGCAGGAAAAGTCTCAGTTCTTATCCTGTTAGATTTAAGTGCTGCTTTCGACACTGTCGATCATGGTATCCTCATTCAGAGACTTGAGGACTGGGTTGGTGTTTCTGGAACAGCCCTAAGCTGGTTTATATCCTACCTACAGGACAGAAAGTATTTTGTGGAGATCGGAAACTGTATCTCAGACCATCTGGCCCTAACCTGCGGAGTGCCACAGGGATCAATCCTGGGGCCTCTCCTGTTTAATATTTACATGCTGCCTCTGGGTAGGTTAATACACAGTAATAACGTGTCCTATCACAATTATGCTGACGATACTCAGGTCTATGTGTCCCTGACAGCAGGAGAACATGGACCAGTGGACTCGCTCCTTCACTGTATCCAACAAATCAGTGATTGGATGCAAAATAACTTTCTCCAGCTAAACACAGAAAAAACTGAAATTATTGTTTTCGGACCTCAAAAACAAAGAGAGAGCGTTATCTGCCACCTCCAGTCTCTCTCCCTAAAACCCTCAACTCAGGTCAGAAATCTAGGAGTAATAATGGACTCAGACTTAAATTTCAATAGCCACATATCATCTGTGACATCATCAGCTTACTTCCACCTAAGAAACATTGCTAAAATTAGGAACATTGTGTCTAAAGCAGACTTGGAGATTCTTATCCACGCATTTGTCTCCAGTCGATTGGACTACTGCAATGGCTTGTTCACAGGTCTCTCTAAACAAGCGGTAAAACAGCTGCAGTACATCCAAAATGCTGCAGCTCGAGTCCTGACTAGAACCAGGAAGTACGACCACATTAGTCCGGTCCTCAGGTCTCTGCACTGGCTTCCTGTGGCTCAGAGAATAGATTTTAAAGTAGCTTTACTTGTGTACAAGTCTCTCCATGGCCTCGCACCAGGGTACATCCGCGACATGTTGGTGCCATATGAACCAACTCGGGCTCTGAGGAGCACAGGGACTGGACTTCTGTTAGTGCCAAGAGTCGGAACTAGACATGGGGAGGCTGCGTTTCAGATTCATGCAGCTAGAGTCTGGAACCGTCTTCCCGAGAGTGTGAGACAGGCGTCTACTCTAGCAGTTTTTAAAACTGAACTGAAAACAGTTCTTTTTAGCTGTGCATACAAGTGAATGATTTTATATTTGTTTTTATCTTTAATCTTTTTAATGCGCTATGATTATTTATGATTATTTATGATTGTAATCCCTTGTGTGATTTTAATGTTTTACGGTTTTTAACTACTTGTGTGATTTTATATATCTTGTGCTCTTAATCTGTCTTTTTATGTTTACTTAAATTCTAATGTTTGATGATTTATGCATGATGTTATATGGGTTGTGAGGCGCTTTGCGTTGCCTTGTGTAGGAAAGGCGCTCTATAAATAAACGTTTATTGATTGATTGATTGACTCCTCTGCTTAGCAGGAGGCCAGTCCCTGTGCTCCTCAGTCTTAGCAGGAGGCCAGTCCCTGTGCTCCTCAGAGTCCCAGCAGGAGGCCAGTCCCTGTGCTCCTCAGAGTCCCAGCAGGAGGCCAGTCCCTGTGCTCCTCAGAGTCACAGCAGGAGGCCAGTCCCTGTGCTCCTCAGAGTTCCACTTGGGACTTATAGCACTAACATTTGGTACGAGACTTAAAGCTGTGGTCTCTATTTTCAAAGCTCATGTAAAAATCTAATTCTTATTTCTGTCTGAGCCCAAAGGGTCAAATAGTGACTCACAGGGACTGTTGGATCACGTCAGCACAATGACCTGGGGAGATGACGTCGGATTTATCCACAATAAACACATTTCTCACACTTTTTCTATCGCGACAAACAACATTTCAGTCTCGAAACAAAACTTTAGGTTCAGCAGCTTTAAGTTTCTAATAAATAATGTTTAACTGTTTTTCATCACAACAATTCTATTCTATGTTTTTAGCCTCGTCAAAGGACTTTACCAAGTTGTCGATTCGTCGACACGGATCAGAAAATCAAACAGACACAGTGGTCTCTCTCTGGTCTCTCTCTGGTCTCTCTCTGGTCTCTCTCTCTGGTGTCTCTCTGGTCTCTCTCTGGTCTCTCTGGTCTCTCTATGGTCTCTCTCTGGTCTCTCTATCTGGTGTCTCTCTGGTCTCTCTCTGGTCTCTGGTGTCTCTCTGGTCTCTCTCTCTGGTGTCTCTCTGGTCTCTCTGGTCTCTCTCTGGTCTCTCGCTGGTCTCTCTGGTCTCTCTCTGGTCTCTCTGGTCTCTCTCTGGTCTCTCTGGTCTCTCTCTGGTCTCTCTGATCTCTCTCTGGTCTCTCTCTGGTCTCTCTCTGGTCTCTCTGGTCTCTCTGGTCTCTCTCTGGTCTCTCTCTGGTCTCTCTCTGGTCTCTCTCTGGTCTCTGGTCTCTCTCTGGTCTCTCTGGTCTCTCTCTCTGGTCTCTCTCTGGTCTCTCTCTGGTCTCGCTCTCTGGTCTCTCTCTGGTCTCTCTCTGGTCTCGCTGGTCTCTCTCTGGTCTCTCTCTGGTCTCTCTCTGGTCTCTCTCTGGTCTCTCTCTGGTCTCTCTCTGGTCTCTCTCTGGTCTCTCTCTGGTCTCTCTGATCTCTCTCTGGTCTCTCTCTGGTCTCTCTCTGGTCTCTCTGGTCTCTCTCTGGTCTCTCTCTGGTCTCTCTGGTCTCTCTCTCTGACCTCTCTCTGGTCTCTCTGGTCTCTCTCTGGTCTCTCTCTGGTCTCTCTCTGGTCTCTCGCTGGTCTCTCTCTGGTCTCTCTCTGCCCTCTCTCTGGTCTCTCTCTGGTCTCTCTCTGGTCTCTCTCTGGTGTCTCTCTGGTGTCTCTCTGGTCTCTCTCTGGTCTCTCTCTCTGGTCTCTCTATCTGGTGTCCCTCTGGTCACTCTCTGGTCTCTCTCTCTGGTCTCTCTATCTGGTGTCCCTCTGGTCTCTCTCTGGTCTCTCTCTCTGGTGTCTCTCTGGTTTCTCTCTCTGGTGTCTCTCTGGTCTCTCTGGTCTCTCTCTCTGGTCTCTCGCTGGTCTCTCTGGTCTCTCTCTGGTCTCTCTGGTCTCTCTCTGGTCTCTCTGATCTCTCTCTGGTCTCTCTCTGGTCTCTCTCTGGTCTCTCTCTGGTCTCTCTCTGGTCTCTCTGGTATCTCTGGTCTCTCTCTGGTCTCTCTGGTCTCTCTGGTCTCTCTGGTCTCTCTCTGGTCTCTCTCTGGTCTCTCTGGTCTCTCTGGTCTCTCTCTCTGGCCTCTCTCTGGTCTCTCTGGTCTCTCTCTGGTCTCTCGCTGGTCTCTCTCTGGTCTCTCGCTGGTCTCTCTCTGCCCTCTCTCTGGTCTCTCTCGCTGGTCTCTCTCTGGTCTCTCTCTGGTGTGTCTCTGGTGTCTCTCTGGTCTCTCTCTGGTCTCTCTGGTCTCTCTCTGGTCTCTCTCTCTGGTCTCTCTATCTGGTGTCCCTTTGGTCTCTCTCTGGTCTCTCTCTCTGGTGTCTCTCTGGTCTCTCTGGTCTCTCTCTGGTGTCTCTCTGGTCTCTCTCTGGTCTCTCGCTGGTCTCTGGTCTCTCTCTGGTCTCTCTGGTCTCTCTCTGGTCTCTCTCTGGTCTCTCTCTGGTCTCTCTCTGATCTCTCTGGTCTCTCTCTGGTCTCTCTCTGGTCTCTCTCTGGTCTCTCTGGTCTCTCTGGTCTCTCTCTGGTCTCTCTCTGGTCTCTCTCTGATCTCTCTGGTCTCTCTCTATGGCCTCTCTCTATGGTCTCTCTCTGGTCTCTCTCTGGTCTCTCTCTGGTCTCTCTCTGGTCTCTCTCTGGCCTCTCTCTGGTCTCTCTCTGGTCTCTCTCTGGTCTCTCTGGTCTCTCTCTGGTCTCTCTGGTCTCTCTCTGGTCTCTCTCTGGTCTCTCTGGTCTCTCTCAGGTCTCTCTCTGGTCTCTCTGGTCTCTCTCTCTGGTCTCTCTCTGGTCTCTCTGGTCTCTCTGGTCTCTCTGATCTCTCTCTGGTCTCTCTCTGGTCTCTCTCTGGTCTCTCTCTGGTCTCTCTGGTCTCTCTGGTCTCTCTCTGGTCTCTCTCTGGTCTCTCTCTGGTCTCTCTCTGGTCTCTCTTTGGTCTCTCTCTGATCGCTCTGGTCTCTCTCTATGGCCTCTTTCTGGTCTCTCTCTGGTCTCTCTCTGGTCTCTTTCTGGTCTCTCGCTGGTCTCTCTCTGGTCTCTCTCTGGTCTCTCTGGTCTCTCTCTCTGGCCTCTCTCTGGTCTCTCTGATCTCTCTCTGGTCTCTCTCTGGTCTCTCTCTGGTCTCTCTCTGGTCTCTCTGGTCTCTCTGGTCTCTCTCTGGTCTCTCTGGTCTCTCTCTGGTCTCTCTCTGGTCTCTCTATGGCCTCTCTCTGGTCTCTCTCTGGTCTCTCTCTGGTCTCTCTCTGGTCTCTCGCTGGTCTCTCTGGTCTCTCTCTGGTCTCTCTCTCTCTGGTCTCTCTCTGGTCTCTCTCTGGTCTCTCTCTGGGTCTCTCTGATCTCTCTCTGGTCTCTCTCTGGTCTCTCTCTGGTCTCTCTCTGGTCTCTCTCTGGTCTCTCTGGTATCTCTGGTCTCTCTCTGGTCTCTCTGGTCTCTCTGGTCTCTCTGGTCTCTCTCTGGTCTCTCTCTGGTCTCTCTCTCTGGCCTCTCTCTGGTCTCTCTCTCTGGTCTCTCTCTGGTCTCTCTCTGGTCTCTCTCTGGTCTCTCTCTGGTCTCTCTCTGGTCTCTCTCAGGTCTCTCTCTGGTCTCTCTGGTCTCTCTCTGGTCTCTCTCTCTGGTCTCTCTCTCTGGTCTCTCTCTCTGGTCTCTCTCTGGTCTAAACAGTGAAAATAGTAATTCTCACCTAAACAACATCAAAAACATCAAATATCAGATTTCGTTTCAAATGAGTTCAGTTCGAATCTCATTTAATATTTCAGTTTTTATTTTGTATAAATTGTATGAAATAAACTTTTAGCACAGGTACAAAAGCACTGAGCCGTGTTATACTTTTACTTTCACTTTCAAAGGCTCATAATCTCACCTTTTCCCGCGTGGCCCGGTTCAAACCTCTGCATTGCTGTATATTTTTATATGCTGTTTTTTGACGACTGAATGGAAGGATCTCACCGTTTCCATGGTTACCACTTTGAATATACGTCATTTTAAAACAAAGTCTCCTCCTCCCTCTCTACGATGCAGATTAAAGGGAAATGTCTGGGAGTTTTTGATATATATTTTTACTCCATTTTCTGGCTGATAACCAGGAAAGCCTTGTTCTCATGTTGGGTTTGTGCGACAGGATCCTTGGGTTGTGTTCTTCTTCTAGGATTGTGTTTCTTTCTAAAGATCATTATTGACGGTTCTCTGTACGGCTGCGCTGTTACGAATGTGTCCACAAAGTCCGTATTCTCACTTGGCATAAAGTCATTTTTTTAATAATATTGGGTTGTTTTTGTGGTTTGTGCTGATTGACAAGGGGGCGGGGTCTAGCTATGATGTCACAGATCGGAGAGATTCGACCCGGAGCGTTCTGTGAGGGCCAGAGCAGAACATAGAGTGAAAAGTGATGAGAAAATAGTCTAAAAATGCTGAAATTAGGCAAAACATGTGTCTTAATTTAGGATTAGATCGATTTAAGAGTTTTAAGACTTTTTCAAGTGTATCTGTCTGCGGCCTGCAGTACGGAGGCGTGTCGAGTAGTGGGCGTGTCGGGTAGTGACGTCACTACTCGACACGCCCACTCCGCGTGTATGAGCATGGATCTATAATAATACGGGTATGAGTAGTAGTGAGTACTATCTATGCCCAATGAATTTATGCGCAATAATGAATTTTATGGCGCATGTCATTGTCAATATTATTTATTGGGGGAAAATGGACGACTTTTGTAAATATCAAAGTAGTAAATTTGCCTACAAAAGCTGCCATTACTTCAGACTATCAATCAATAGGGATTTGAAGCAGCTCAGGACAAAAGTGAATGAGTCAAATAATGCCAGTGCTTATGTCTAATGTGTACATTCATTTATAAAAGGGGCCTATGGTTGGTGGCTCAAATCCTGGCTGCCCCAAGTGCAGTCTGGTATGTTCTTGAGCAATGCACTTCACCCACATGTGTGGACATAGTGAGAGACTGCTTGGTGGTGGCCAATAGCACAGATTAGTAGCCTGGCATCCTCCAACCCAGCTGTGACACACTGTGTGGAATAAATGAATAAAGACTAGTGTGGCGTTTTGAGAAACTTGTCAACACAGGATTGAAAAGTACATTACAAGTTAAAGATATTATTACACCACCACCACCACCACACACTCCTACATCCATGGTCTCCACATTACTGATCATAAAGAGAACATGCCATAACATTTTTGTGCCCAACTTTGGCCTTTTGGGACAAGCAGACATTCATTACTATTGTGTTTTGTCAAATTTGTATGTAGAAGAGGGAGATTAAACAAAAAGAACAAATTGTTTTCTGGCATTTTATGTACATGCTTTTTTATGATTTTTTGTTATCTGAATGGCTCTGAAATGTAGACACTGAATAAGTTCAACACAAAACAAATATTGCAACAAATTGTCTTTTATTATAATCGTGAGAGAAAGGCTTCAGAGGAGAGCGCCAATCTCCATCTCTCTTGGAAAGCTTTCAGCCTCCCTGCTGCCTCCTCTGGTAAATGCCTCACCAGATCATTTGCAATCATTTTAAACTCACTGTCCATAAAGAACAATCACAGATTAGATTGTGCAGTGCACAGTGAAATATGTCCATCAATATTTAAATAATCTTACCATGGTTCATACTTTGGCCCCTTTATGAATTTTTCAATTGCCTCTTGCTGAGGCAGGTGAAATGCCTCGGCCAGAGTGTGAACTGTCACCTAGATAAGAGTAAAATGTGTTACATTCAACAACAACAGTTCACAAAACCAAATGCAGCCCTAAAAGGTGTTGTGTCCTGTTTAATATATTGTCAGTGACTTGCACTTATGACTTTATGGTCTCTGTACATCAACAATGTTGCAATGCAGAGTTTTTAGTACAGTGTACGTCCAGGAAACATGTACCATGACATGTTTATGTTTGAGGGGGGTTCAGTGTTTTATGCACACTTTCATTACAATAGTCCCTGTGCCAGCCTGGTGGCGCTCGGGCCTACTAATGTAAAACAAACATTATATAAATCATGCTATACTTCCGGTAAGAGCGTGTAGACCAATCAGAAAGGAAGGGGGAGGGAGCTTGGGTTGTTTTTTTTTCAAATCAAGTACCTCTCTGTCTCTCTTTCTGACAAACTCTAGACAATCACTTTAAAGAACAAATTTACAATATTGCACAACACCTGGATTCGAAGTTAAAACATACCTCCATGACAAACAGATGCCCTTTCATGGGTTTGCACGTGTGTGAGCATTTGTGCTTCTCCGCCATGTTTAAAACAGGTTACACACGTGAGCGTGTTCCCCTGCTTCAGCACTGGAGCATGATTCCCATCACTGACAATAGTCGGATGCAACTGAAAGCAGACATAAACATCCATTTGTGCACACTCAGAAACACAGAGGTACAGAAAGGAAGGAGCTCCCTCCCCCTTCCTTTCTGATTGGTCTACACGCTCTTACCGGAAGTATAGCATGCGCCTCGCTCAGTCTTTGCCTAGCGTCTGAGGAGGTGGGTCACGTTTTTACACTCTGCATGATTTCGGTTTTAAATGTTATTTATGTTGTTACAAATGCAAATGTACAAGTCAGAGCCTTTTGAATCCATGTTTTAAGTCTGTAGTTTACAGTGATGGGCAGTAGCGACGCTACTACCCAGGTAGCAAGGACACTCGGGCCAACTCTGGCTTAGCCACGTCAGTGTCGGCTGAGCTCCGACTCGGCGGAAACATTGTTATTTTTGAATGGGCCGAGGCAGACTTGCAATAGTAGCGCCAATCCCAGTGTTTATTGATCGGCCCGAGTGAGGTTTTATTGCCCCCTGCCGACGATGGCCTCAAACGCGGCTCACCTTAGTATTGCAGTTGATGGCCCGACTTAAACTGATGTGCCTCAGGCCAACTCCAATAAAACAGAGAATGGGCCAACACTGGCAATCAGTAATAGGTCCAATTGCTAGTTTTTTAATTGGCCCGATTGTGGCATCATAGACTATAGGCCTACTCACTCACATGACGTGACATCCCTGTGGCGCGCAGTGCACATCTTACAGAAACACAACTGGTCCAATTGTACTTCAATGCAATGCAATGCAATGTGAAGAGTCACAAGCAACAAAACGCTCCTTATTCTATGAAAATCCGCCGCATATTGACGTCAAACACCTGCTGTAAAGATGCAATACAGTGGACGCGTGTACGGCAGCGGTGAGCGGTGGCGCACAGCATGTGTAATTTCATTCTTTACTATTTATACAAAATAAATGTAAAAATATTTTTTAACACAACACAGGTTAAATGATCAGTTACACAGACTACACTCTTAAAACAGATGTGTTAAAAATAACACATGTTGTGTTATTCATTAACACATCTGTGTGTTTAGTTAGGGACAACACAACATGTGTTGATTTCAACACAACCACTGTGTTGGTTCAATTAACACAACAAATGTGTTAAATACACCAACACGGTAGCTGTGTTGAAATAAACACATGTTGTGTTGTCCCTAACTAAACACACAGATGTGTTAAAATAAATCAGCACAAAGATGTGTAAAAATTAACACATGTTGTGTTTTATTCCAGAAAAAAGATCTTTTAAAAAATGTATTCAAATATATTTATTATACAGAATTCTAAAAGACATTGAACTGAAGTGAGGTTTTTCACTTGTGTTAAACAATTCATACAAATAGTCAAAAAAATAATAATCATGAACTAAATGTCTGGAATTAATCTCAAGATACATGACAAACTCTTGTTTTGCTACAAAAAACCAATACGAAACAAGCATGAACACGTTTATACAAGTATTTTGTATCTTGGATTTAGATATAATTTTTCATCTGAAAATGTTAATAAGTCCAGTGGTCTGATGTCCCCTAGTTTCTTAAAGAGAAATCAATTCATATTCATGAGTTCATTCCACCATATACGAATATAAATGATCGTCAAAATAAGTTACCGTTAAGATTCTTATAAAAACAAATACTTCTTCCATTTCACACATTGGTGAAATTGTACACATGATTCCAAAGAGCGGTTCTCCTCTGTAATCAGGCTTCAAAGCAACCACACAACCAACTCTAAATGTTTGACCAAAAACACAAACAGAATGAGCAACATGAATTGTACTACATGGACTAACATCACAGTCAATAGCTTTCCACTGATCAAGGAACAATTCATTTTTTTCTAAAGATGCAATTGTGATTGCATAGCTGTTTGGGACTTGGATTTTCTTTGTAATTGGGTCACTAAACTTCCAATTAAACATACTCTGAAGTTGAGTTTTATGAGCTAATGTTTTTGAAATATTTTTAAAATTGCATACAACATGGGCATGCTTTTTAAGGGGCCCATGCTTGCTTTCGGAACGCATGCACCAAAACCTTACAAGTGGGCCAAATTTAATAATCATTTGCCAATAATGAGTCATGAAGTGGTGCTTTGGTGTGAGCTGCCTGTCTGGGTAAAGACTTTTGAAAAGATGGTGGTGATCTATAACCAACTGCTTTAAAAACACTGCAAGTCCAGGGGTCACTACAGGTGCAAAAACTATGTTGCATATTTCTCTTAAGAGGATAAACAATTTCCAATGTTGATTATCTTCACTTACATGCTCTCCTATCAAAAAGGGCAGAAAAAGCAAGAGGCACCACATTTGACTGGCTGTTTGTTTTATGGGATTATCTGATGTCCTCAGATTAAGGATGACACTTGGTTTGTTTTTAGTGTTAGAATAGCCATAATCAAAGCTAACTATCTTGTCGTTAAGATGCTCTAATGTAAATAGTCTCTCTTCATAAATGAAATTATGTAACATCAGCTTTACTTCTAACGGACCCACACCTTCTAAAATATCATGCATTACATCAGGACATACGTTTTCAGTGATATGAAAGTACTCAAGTGAATTTAAACAAGAATCCTCTTTTATACCCGTCAGAGAAGGGTTCTTCAGGCTGACATGGTGTTTATAGTTTATCTTGTCACGGGTTTCTTGGTGATCATCATCAAAGACATGTTGGGCCCTTTGCTTGCAAGTTAAGCAAAAATGGCAAAACTTGTTGGCTGAGAAACTCTCAAAATCCTCCTAGTGAATGACAAGCAAGATTATCTGCAGTCAAAAGGCAAATTGTTCCACGGAGATCAACATTCTGGCTGTCAATTTCAACCTGAATTCCATCCTTTTCAAGTATTTGTAAATCTTCCAAAAGAGGTTCTAATATTTTGGCAAAACCATAAGTCTCTCGGTCAATAGAATTAAAGAGAAGACACAGGTGAATATTTGATAAAGAGGAATTCATTTCTGCAGGAAGATTCCTCAAACAGAAATAAACAGCCCCCATTTTGTGAATTTTTGTCTTTGACCCCAAAGGATTGGTCGTTTCGACATCATCAAAATATAGCTGAATTTGCAAAGCATTAGGGTATTGCATGTACAATGGATGCTGAGCAAAATGTAGACCATCACAGTAATCCTGCATCTTTCCATCCTCACTTTTTGTGGAGTCTTTATAAAGTCTTTGCAGCTTTTCATTTCCAAATAAAAACTTCACAGTTTCAATAATAGATACATACTGACACGCCAACCTTGCTATATTAAGTTTTCATAGAGACAAATTGTAAGAATTGACAGACACTTTCAAATCTAAACTTTTTCAGAGCAGTTTCCATCTCCATTTCAAATTCTCTTGTTACTATGTCCAATGATACATTTAGAGAACACAATTATTGGTTAAGAAGATGTAATGTTTACCAAGCACAGTAGGTCAATAAAGCGTGGATAGTGAGCGACAATTTCCTGCATTGTGGGAGACTCTGTGGAAATCCAAAGCCTCCGACTTGTGAATGTTTTATCCATGCCCATTTTGATTGTTGCAATGTTCTCAGGGATGGGCTTCATCCTTTTAATAGCAGATGTCCACTCCAGTGTAGCCTCTGCCTCCTGCCCTGCCATGTGAAGGGTAACTATGACATCAGGATCGGGTACACTACAACGAACTCTTTTCCGGTATCGCCGCTGATCTTCGTGAAGACTTCTGCGGAGGTTCCTCAGCCTCATTTCAATAAACCCACAATGGGAAACTGGGTCAAAGAAATGCTCCTAGACAATAAAAAAAAAAGAACAGTTATACATGTGTATATGTTATACACACACACACACACACACACACACACACACACACACGTGTGTAAATATACTCACAAATCCTTCATTTTTTTCCTGGTAGTTTATCTTTAGCGAGGGAAAGACTGTTACTATACTTCTAGCCAGAAGTATTTTGTCATCCTTTGAGGGATAGCTAAATAACAGACAAAAGTATGATTAACTGTATGATACATTTTAATATAGATACCATAAGTGTAATCTTATCTTAAAACTCTGCATTAACAAAAGGTCTGACATATTCAATGATGTAAATTGCATTATAATAATCATGGCGTAAAAGAGTTTCTTTTTAAGAAACAAATGCAAAAAGTCAACAGTTCAAGGTCAAATGACTTAATTCTGTTAACTTTCATAATGCATGACTTAGTGAAATTGACAAATGTAGAAATTGCTTATTTGGTTTTTGTATTAGAATCAAAGGCATCATGTATTGGTTATGTTTGTGAACCAATTTATTGTCCATCAAAATTGTTATCGTGATAGGCCTAGTTACAGGTTCATTCCAACCAAGCAGAGCCACACCGGACTCCACCCATTTCCTCAAGACTTTCTTCTTACATGAGAATTGGAGGGGGTCTGGTGTGCCCCTGCTTGGTTGAAATGAAAGCCATCAGTCAGACTTTTGGACTGCAGTGTGTGTACAGGTGTAGATACGAGTATTTCTGTTCCACGAGATGGCTCACAGATACTTTAACAAGCAGTTTTCGTGACGTGATGGAAAGACTGCCTGATGATTCGAACTCCAAGAGGAGATTTGGGGCTTTTTCCTTCAACAGTTTTCTCAAACTATCATTGCCTGGCTGTGGTTCATTCTGCAAAAAACAATGAAATCCATGAATACAGGTGAATGCTGAAACATTTGAAAATCATGAAAAATGTAATTATGTGAAACTAATACATAAAAAGAAGGCAAAACATTTTTTTCTTCTTTTTTAAAGTCAGATGGAGGAGAATCGACAATGGAAAATGGACAAGGAGATCTCGAAATAGGAATTTACCTTTGCAACATAATTACAGAAAGATATCAAGACCAAGT